AGCGACTCCCTGCGCGCGCGTCGGTCCCGGGCGCACCGCGCGCAGCCTGCTTGGCTTTGGGGGAACGAGCAGCGAAGGGTCATCATCGTTCGTCCCGGCCGCCGCCATGGGCCTGCTCCGGATCCTGGGCGCGCTCCTCGTCGGCCTCGGCGCTTGGTATTTCTACAGCCAGGACACCTTCTCGGAAGGTAAGCGGGGCGCTTTTAGACCCGCGCGCCCGGTTCGCCTCTCCAAACTCGCGGCTGCAGGATGGACGGAGATGGAAGAGCAGAAGCGGCGGTTGCAAGTTATGCTGAATGGCAATGCATGGGGGGGGGACAGCCTGCTGTGAGGGCGGGGAGGCAGCTTCCACGCCCCCGAGGATCTCCCCGCCTAAGCAGATCAGGGTCTGCCGATAGTCCCCCCTAACTAAGAGAGGCTATGTGACCAAGGGAGCTGTAGAGGAACCAGGGCGCGCAGGGTGAAAGTCCCCGGGAGTTTCTGAGTAACAGGGGCTCTGCTATCATCACACAGGTGAAGGGCTCAAGCCTCCTCCTTCCATTAGCTACAGCCCCTGAAGTAGCCGAGAGCAAAATTAATGGCCACCCCAGCAACAGAATGTTGCAGTTTTGCCTTGTGTCCGCATAAAGTATCTGTGGCCATTTGATCCTGAAGGGGCAATTAAGAGCTGTTGATTTTACAAAAGCCCTGCTCCTCAGTGCTTGATATGCGCCCCATTCACCAGCCTGCATGTTTAGACTCCCCTTATGGGGCCGGAGGGGCTATAAAGACCATGGGAATCGACAGTCTTCATAATTTGGGGTGTTTTCTGTGGCATAAAAGCATGTCGGGATTGAGAGATTTTGTGGGAAAGGAGATATTACGCTGCTGATAAGAGTGGGATGGAGGAATGGTGTGTCCCCCTCCCCACGTCTCTGAAACATGGGGAGCAGTGGGCACAAGGTTTTAATCCAAACAGCTCACTTGAGTGGAAAGGGGTTCCGATGTGACATGCACCTCAGTGTGGGCACTATTCGTGGCACGCCCTGTCTTTTCAGATTTCCCTTTTTCATCCTAAGCAGTTCCTGTGGATGTGGAGGCGCCTCCCGCCAGGCCACCTTGAACCCTGACACAGTCTCCTGATAAGGGCTGGGCCTCACTTTCTAGAATATGTTTATATTCCACCTTTCATTCTTCCCAAAAGGAGACACCATGCATGAGCGTCCCAGACTCCCACCAGACCTCAACCTGGGGTGTTTTCTTGCAACACCCCAAAGTTTCCAACTTCTAGGAGCTGTTTGGGTATCATTCTCCCAAGATCAGACAAAGAATATCCCAGGAAAGTGGGCCAGTTCCTTCCTCCTTGTTCTTTCATCTCTAGGAAGTCTGTACATTCTCTTGCTGCAGAAAATCTCGCATTGCAGAAATTTCCAGCAGAAATTCTTGTGCTGCAGAAAATCTCGCGCTGCAGAAATTTCCAGCAGAAATTCTACTGCTGCAGAAAATTTCTTGCTGCAGAAATTGTGCTGCAGAAATTCTCTTGCTGTGGAAATTTCCAGCAGAGAGGTAGCAAGAGTGTTCAGCTCTTGCAGAAAAACTGTCCCATGGCACCATCAAAGCTATGATTTTTTTTTTCTGGCATAAGCTTCTGTAGCTCAAAGGCCACTTTGGGTGCATGGAGGTCACCCCGAGGGAGGAGATGTTTATTCACATGGGAGTGGGCAGAATGTGAAGTTTTAACAGGAGTGTAAAAGTTACTGCGTTGTCACAATCTTAATGGTGCTGATTAAACAACCACGAGAAGCTGGTGAGCACTTCCTGGTATACCCAAACCTGTTGACACATGTAGAGGAGGGATTTCACCTCTCGATCGCCTGGCCAGGAGCCAGCTGCATAGCTCAGTGAATGTGGTTTCTGCTGAGTCAGAGGCTGAGAGTTTGATTCCCCTACAGTGCCTCCCATGAGTAGAGCCAGGCTGGGTCTCCTTGGGTCAGCTGGACCGTTCTCGAAGCACCCCCCAGAAGAAAGGAATACCCTTTTGAGTACTCCGTACCTTGAAAGGATCGCCATAAATTTGAATTATCTTGAAAGCATGTGATTTATTTTTTTAAAAAAAATCCTGGCCCTAATCTTATTGACAATTTATTAATGGGTGAAAATGTTCAAGTCAGAATGGAAATTAATGAGAAACCAGCCACCTGCCTAGTTTCACGCCTGCTGCCTGGCCAGGAATTTGACCTGCAGCTATCTTAATCAGTGGCAATTTACTGCCATGATTCTCATGCCTGGTGCCTGACCAGGAATTTGACCTTAATCAGTGGCAATTTACTGCCATGATTTGTGTGATTTCTCTTACACACGTGTAAATCGCCAGTAGGATTCTGCCTCCGATATGGTAGCCTCCACGCATAACCCCCTCAAGACAGTTTTTACAGCCTCCAGCCTTTCTCATTTTCTCGTAGCGATATTTATTATTTATCATTTTATTTCTTCTGTTTCTATGCCACCCATGTGACCGATGGTCACTCTGGGCAGTTTAGAACAGTGGCAATAAAATAAAATAAACACAAAGTAAACCCATAACTAGCTTGACTTTCAGACTGCAAACTCTCTGGGCTGAGGAAACCACCACCACCTGCCCTCCGTTGACCAGTGACGTTTGCACAGGGATTGAACATTAATAAAAAGAAGACAAAGTGACCCACATAGGGTCAACACCGTGGCATTCACGGCTGTCGGTGTGAGAAGTGATGGGCCCCAACAAGAAAATGCTACAAATACATTCAAACATTTCTTTAAAAACTTATTTTAAATGGTTTTTTTTTTTAAAAAAAAGTAGCTAACATGTCGGTTGCTTGTTACACCAAAACAATTAATGCTCATTGCGTTACTTTTGAAAAGTAACTCCATTAGCTGGGGGAAAGGGTTGGAGAGAAGTAACTTTTTTCAAAGAGCTGTGTATTTGTAAGTTGTTCCTTCCAGTTTCTGACCTTACTGAAGGCAGACCCGAAAGGAACAGTTGATGTTTTAAGCAGATCATGTTGGGCCATGTTGAGTTTTGTTGGCCTAAAATAATCCAGGCAAGCTTTGAACCCAGACCTTTCGTCTTTAAAAAAAACCAAAGCATAGCCTGTGAACAGGAGACTAGAGGAAGAATCAGTGCATCCGAGACCTACCTCCGGGAGATTCAGCTCAGACCTCATCAAGACGGGAAGAAAAATGTCACCCTACGCTCTTCTGTATCTGCAGACATGGTGCGAGGGAAGCGTGTCCTGGTGACGGGATCAAGCACAGGAATCGGGGAGCAAATCGCTTACGACTTTGCACGGATGGGGGCCCATGTGGTGGTGACTGCCAGGAGAGAGGAGCGGCTCCGGGAGGTAAGCTGTGAGCCCTGGCTGGTTGACGGATGAGAGGCGATGCTTCGCAGGTTTTCCTCTTGAATCCACAACGCAGCACGTTCTTTCTCCCGATCCATCTTGCTGGGGGTATCAGGATGCAACTCAGCTTACGCTGAAGAAAACGCTTGTCTTTGCACAGCTGTGAGGAAAGCAGGAGAAAAAAGACCTTTGGGGAATATCTAGAGGAATCTTTACGTGATCTGACTTCTGACCTACCTCCAACCAAAACTGATGCTTTCTCGAATTGCTGGTGTCACCTGTTCCTTCTCAGTCCTTCATGGCAGTGGTCCCCAACCTTGGGCCTCCAGATGTTCTTTCTTCTCAGTCCTTCATGGGAGAAGACAGAGGCAAGGTCTCCTCCTTGTTCTTGAGAGGCGAAGGGGCAGACGTGGCTCTTGGCAGGTCATTTCCATATATCACCTTCCATCTTTCTTTATTTTTTTGTCTCTCCAGGTGGTACAGAAATGTCTGGATTTGGGGGCCAGCTCTGCTCAATATGTTGTGGCAGACATGAGCAATCTGACTTCTGCACAGGAGCTGGTTGAAGAAACCAAGACTTTGCTGGGTAAAGATTTAATCCCGCCTCTTGGGCAGGACCAAGATTCAAAGGGGGGGAGTGGAGGTAGCAAATTTAGTTCCCGAATCTGAGATGGTTCAGGGCAGAAAACCAACTAAGGGGATCTTCCAAACCAAAAGGCGCAAAATGTCATCATGCCAGAAGATGTTCTTCAAAGCTGCTGAGATTCCATAAAAAATTAGGTTTCTCTCCTGATGGCCAACATCTGTCAAACTGCCAACTCCATATTGAGGTGATCCTTTTATAGGTAAAGGTTAAGGTTAAGGTTCCCCTTGACAATTTTTGTCCAGTCGTGTTCGACTCTAGGGGGCGGTGCTCATCCCCATTTCCAACCCATAGAGCCAGCGTTTGTCCGAAGACAATCTTCCGTGGTCACGTGGCCAGCGCGACTAGACATGGAACGCTGTTTACCTTTTCACTATGGTGGTACCTATTTATCTAGTTGCATTCTTTTGCATTTTGCATGCTTTCGAACCACTGGCACAAATACATGCAGAAATCTAGTCCCCCAAAATGTGCACGTTTTTGAGAATATTCTCTCTCTGTAAGGACACATGTTAAAAATAAACAGGTGCATTTCATGACAGAAAGGAGGATTTTAGGTCCTGGTTTATATGCTGTTCCTCTCTGTAACAGAGAAGGTCTACTGCAGGCAAGAAAATGGGTCTCATCAAGTGATAACATGATGTTAGATTTCACACAGGTAAGCCTCCAGACTCACAGTGAAATGGAAAGTTTAGAACGTCACGTCTCCCATTTTAGACCACATACGTTCTCCGATGTGAATGCAATGCTGGATTCATAGGTTCCTTGGCTGATGCAGAATAAGAGACTCCCTTTATGTTGTCCATGGTGGAGTTGATCTTAAATTATGGGTTAGTTACTCCTTCAGTCTCTTGTTCTGATTGAGAAGACCATCCTTTGTGCTCAACCTCTAAGAGCAAGAGAGGAATAACAAGACCCAAAATCAGCCTAAGGAATGTGAATGCAATGCTGGATTCATAGGTTCCTTGGCTGATGCAGAATAAGAGACTCCCTTTATGTTGTCCATGGTGGAGTTGATCTTAAATTATGGGTTAGTTACTCCTTCAGTCTCTTGTTCTGATTGAGAAGACCATCCTTTGTGCTCAACCTCTAAGAGCAAGAGAGGAATAACAAGACCCAAAATCAGCCTAAGGAAGACCATGGAACGACCATCCTTGGTCCTCAACCTCTAAGACCAAGGGGGGATAACAAGACCCAAAATCAGCCTAAGGAAGACCATGGAAAGCATGGGATAACAGGCCACCCCAAAGTTTGGACAGATCTCTGCCCCCCACCCCCCAGTGATGGCTGCTCTACCCTTTTTTCCTCTGGCAGGAGGCCTTGACCACCTCGTCTTAAACCACGTGGGAGGAGCGGTTAGTTTTGGTCCATTCAAAGGCGACATGAAAGCCATGATGAACTCTTTGACGGTGAACTTCCTCAGCTACATCGAACTAACCATTTCGGCTCTCGAGATGTTGCAAGAATCTCATGGGACCATCATTGTGATATCTTCCGTGGCCGGTAGGGAAGGAAGCACCTGGTAGTTCACTCTCAGGCTCACCTCCACTTTCATCTAACTATGTGGGGAACGACAGCCTACAATTAAGGATTTCTGCACTTTCACCTTCCCCCTTTGGTCATTTCTGTGTTCATAAAGACATGCTTTTATTGGCAGGCATTCAGAGGAGTGTACGAGGAGCTAAAATTTTGGTGGGAATGTGGGGACGCCCATAAGCCCTGTCTGGATAGGTATCTGTGTCTCAGCTGCCTTGAATGCTGGTGGAGAGGGTTTATGGGGGTGCCTTCTCCCCGCCATGAATTCAGCCCTTTGTACGTTTACCCAGAATGCCGGAATGGGGCAGAGCCCGTTTCTAACCACAACATGTGGAAAATTCTGGAAAGGCAACACTTTTCCTCAGCTTTGTCCTTAAAACCTCATCTTCTGAGGTGGTGGGTCATTGTGCCTTGAAGGTATTGATCAGCCAGTTCTTTATGGGTGTGGCTAACCAATAATAACAACAGTAGCCATTTGCCATATCCAAATGATGGCACTGGTTTGGTGAGCAGGAAAAACATGAGACTCAGGCAGAGCTGAGAAGGCGGTTCTGACAGAGAGGGGTGTCATGTGCATGGTTCTGTAGAATAGCCTCAGTTGTGTCGTTTTTAAATTAAATTAAATTCTTTGTGTTGTTTTGTTTTGTTTCATTTTCTTTCATTTCATTTCATTTCATTTTTCACTTCCAGAGAGAGTTTAGGCTTGATTTGATCTTAGTCCCGCTAACTTCTCTTTCTGGTGGCTTAGGGCAGTGGTCCCCAACCTTGGGCCTCCAGATGTTCTTGGACTACAACTCCCAGAAGCCTTCACCACAACTTCTGCCGGCCAGGATTTCTGGGAGTTGACGTCCAAAAACATCTGGAGGCCCAAGGTTGGGGGGCACTGGCTTAGGGTACCTGGTTCCTCTTTAGCATCTCATTTCAAAGGGATGGGGGGTTGTGTTTTTTCCTGCCTGTTTTCTTCACTGTCTGGCTTGCACCTAGTCCATCGTGGCTTACCCACAAGAAAGAGACACAGAGTTGTACATTGTACGCTTTCAAGCAGTCACAGGGTAGATTGAACAGCCTTCCAAACGAAGACGCTTTCTTCTCCATCCATAGGCCGCATGCCCTCCCCGTTCTCCGTCTGGTACTCAGCGAGTAAGTTTGCCCTGGAGGGGTTTTACAGCAGCCTACGGACCGAGTTACGCCTCCGGAAAGTGGACCTGCCGATCACGGTGGCTGTGTTGGGGTACATTGACACAGGTGAGCTTCATACCAACGGACCCCAAAAACCATCCCTCCAGGGAGGTTGGTAAATCTTCAAGTCCCAAGTCTGAGTCTTTGATGTCAAGTCCCACGTCCCATGGCATATGACTCCAGAAAAATTGTCAAAGATTTATACAGATGTGTCAAATGTTTGCTGGAAGTCTGAATCACAAGAGGGAAGTTTTTATCATATGCAGTGGACTTGCAGAGTAGCGAAACAATATTGGAGAGGAGTGCATACTTCGTTACAAAAAATATATTGCTTTGTAAGGGTCCACTAACTTCAGAACTGTTTCTATCGAGTATGATACCAGACAACGTAGATAAGACAAAGAAGTGCTTGGTTTTTTATATATATAGTCACTGCAGCCAGAATTCTTTACGCCAAAAATTGGAAGAGACCAGTGATACCGAAAGAAGAGGAACGTAGGGAGAAGATGCGGGAAGTGGCAGAAATGGACATTCTATCAGAAGTGCTGAAAGACTGTCCAATCCAAAAGGCAACCGAATGATGGGATTTATTTTATAAATGGTTCGAGTCATCAGAAGTGTTTGAATAACATAGATGTAAACTAGGATGTAAATTTGAGTTAAAAACTGGAGGGCAGCCAATAGTAGAAAAGTGGAAAGTTTGATCCTGTCATTGTTGGTCTGATCTCCTTGGTCTGTTCTTTCTTTCAGATAGCGCCGTGCAGATAGTAGGCGACAGAATCACCATGACGGCCAGTCCGAAGGACGAGTGCGCCCGGGCGATCGTGAAAGGCGGGGTGCTGAGGCACCGGGAAGTATTCTATCCTTACTGGAGCACAAAAATCCCCCTCCTTTTCAGGGATTGGATGCCCGAATACTTCGACCACATGATCGGCAGATCATACATGGTAGACAAAATCCTTTAAAATTGCTGATGTCCAGTCCATCCATTTTTGGCAAACTGCCTTTGAAGAACTATCATACAGACAGGCAAGCAAGTGGAAAATATAAAGATTAAAAGCATAAAAAGGGAAAATTTGAAATACAGTTAGAGTCCCTTGTCCGTGGGGTGAGTATCCACTGATCCGCTTATCCACAATCTGAAAACATTAAAAAATATTAAAATTAAAATGGCATAAATGTGTATTTTGAAAGATGAAGTTACCGGAACTGGCCACTAGAGCAAACCAGAGGCCATGCTATGTATAGTGTTCACTATTAAAATGGTGTCTGCTGTAATCCACGTTTTCCAGCATCTGCGAGGGGCAGGGAGCTTGGAACCAATCCCCTACAAATACGGGGTCCTACTGTATGGATAAATAGACTTTGGTCCGTTTGAACAGATTATTGATCCAAATCAGATATAAAAATCCCCAGAGGAATCAGTAAAGCAAAGTGTGCTGCTTATAAACCACCGCATAACACTTAAAGCTCTCTCTGGGCAGTTTACAGGTCAATTTTGCAGGCCACACTTTGCCCCAGCCAGCCAGCTGGGTACTCAATTTGCCAGCTTTGGAAGGATGGAAGGATGAGTCAACTTTGAGCCAGTGACCTGAGGCCATTCGGATTAAACCCAGGTTATGAGAAGAGTCTTGCCTGCAAGATTGCGGTTTCTCTATTGCAAAAAGCCAGCGGTGCTTTTTATTATAGATTTGGAAGTTATCCCAGCCACCAAGTTTGCCACAAAGGGGGAGGGGGCAGCGAATTAAAATTCCATGTTAAGGTTCTAGCGAGGGTGTGAGGACAGAGGAAGGAATTACCAGTTTGTGAGTTTGCCAGCTTTGGAAGGATGGAAGGACGAGTCAACGTTGAGCCAGCGAACTGAGCCCATTGGGATCAGACTCAGGTTATGAGCAGAGTCTTCACTGCAAGATTGTGGTTTCTCTATTGCAAAAAGCCAGTGGTGCTTTTATTATAGATTTGGAAGTTATCCCAGCCACCAAGTTTGCCACAAAGGGGGAGGGGGCAGCGAATTAAAATTCCATGTTAAGGTTCTAGCGAGGGTGTGAGGATGGAGGAAGGAATTACCAGTTTGTGAAAGAAATAGCAGCCAGAATCCTGCTGGTGGTTTCCGCGAGCGCCCACGAACGCAGATCAGCCCCTCATCAAAGCAAAACTATGAATCATTTCATCATTGAAACAAAGAAGCCAGCTTTTTTTCCTAGACCACACCCTTCAGGAAGGCCAGATTTCGAACCCCACCCTCCCGTGGTAGCAGGGATGGAAGGACCCACCCTGGCTGGGGACGATGGGAGCTGTGACAGACTCATCTGCAGAGCGTTTGGGGTGGTGGAGCCGGACCAGATTCTCTGTGCCACGTTTCATACAGGCAGGGTGGTGGTCCAGCTTTCATAGATTTGGGGAGTTTCACACCTTTATGGGGTGATGACTAGTAACCCCCACTGTTTTGTGTTTCTGTCTGTGTAAAAATCTGCACCTGGTTTTAGTCTGGATTGTGCAGGGCGCTTTTCAGGGTGAGGATGAAAATACAGCGAAGGGATTGGGCTTCAGGACCCCGGAGAGCGCCAGGTTAAACCTAGAGCAGATTTGCCTCCCTCAAAAAAAAAAACCATTGCAGTACAGTGGGGTCTTGACTTGAGAACTTAATCCGTATTGGAAGGTGGTTCTCAAGTCAAAAAGTCTGTAAGTGTGTTTCTCTCTCTGTGTGTGTGTAAAAATTTGCACCTGGTTTTAGTCTGGATTGTGCAGAGCGCTTTTCAGGGGGAGGAGGAACCTACAGCGAAGGGATTAGGCTTCAGGACCAAGGAGAGCTCCAGATTAAACCTAGAACAGATTTGCCTCCTTCCAAAAAAAAAAAAAAACATTGCAGTAAAAGGTAGCCGTGTGGCCCAAATGAAATAAAACCCAGTACTGTAGGCATCACCTTTTTTTGCCTCAAAAATAAATAAATAAAAGCAGTCACCAGCCAGAACTGAGGGCCTGCCCACAAGCCTTCAGAGCAGATGGAGGTGAGAGTCATGTCTGTCACTTACTTCCTTGAGGTCAAACCCTTCCAATTCCTGCCCCTAAGTAGAGTTTTCGAAGGCGTAGCCGCATTCGTCTGCCCAAACGCATCAGACAAGGAGCAAAACGAAACAGAAGCCAAGCCGGACAGGCAGGCGGGAAACAAAAATAGCTGTCGTGCTTTTAAGACTGACTGCTATGTTTTAATGTGAGCTTTCATGGACAGTCCACTTCCTCAGACATGAGACACAAATGTGGATCCATTTAGACAATGCTCCGGAATTAGGTGACAGGGATTGGTTAGTTTACAGTGGTCTCCAACCTTGGGCCTCCAGATGTTCTTGGACTTCAACTCCCAGAAATCCTGGCCAGCAGAGATAGTGGTGAAGGCTTCTGTAGTCCAAGAACATCTGGAGGCCCAAGGTTGGGGACCACTGGGTTAGTAGACACAAGCTGAAAATTGTGTGAGCGAAGATCGCATTCCACATCTGATAATGACCTTGACCCCCTTGTTTGATATTCGGTCCCTTTCTTTGAGCCCCCACCAACTTTCCAGAGGCCTTGAGGAGAGAGTTCAAACACACACACACCTTGCAACCCATTCATACGCAAATTACAGAGGGACGACTGCACCGGTCTTTATTTCGCATAGCATCTTCCCATACATCAAAGCACATCTAGGCCCCTGTAGGGTTGACATCCGGGCCTGGGGCTTCGTTCTCCTTCTCGTCCTCTTTGGTGCCTTTGAACTTAGCCAGAACTGGGGTGCCGAAAGGCGAAGCATTGCCGGGGGGAGCTGCGCTTGGAGAAGATAGCGTGGAGTTGCCGGCAGGGAACCTGGAACAAGAAAAACGTTTCCTGCAAGGCCTCCCAGCCATCTCGTCAAGTTGCATATCCCTCCATGACCTCCTCCAATGCCGTCCTCCCCAGGGTCATCTGGGACTCTAGTTTTCATTGAATTCTAACCAAATATTATAATAATTGTGGAACGGCAGAGCTGGAAGAGAGTCCAGCCCCTGTCAAGGAGGCCCCGTGGGGGGAATCGAACTCCCAACTTCTGGCTTCTGCATCCAGAGGCCTCAACCCCTAAGCTATCCAGAAGACCTGGTGCTCCCTACAGGAGGTGGTAAGAAAGTGGAGATCCTTTGTGAAAGTGACACAGCGCTGCCCAAGACCTCAGCCCCTGAGCTATCCAGCAGTTCATGTGAATGCATGAGACTTATGAGTAGATTTGTGCTTCTGGACTACAGCTTCCAGAATCCCCCTCAGCAGCTATGGGCACTGTAGTCCAAAAGCAGAGGTCCTCTGTACTCCACATCCATGCCAAACCACAGTTCCCAAGGTTCTTGGTGGGACGCCATGACCGCAGAGCTGGTATGAAACCAGTATAGCAAGGAAGGGCAAGATCTAAGGATCCAGGACCTAATTTCACCGACACGTTTTGAGGCCCACAATGGGCCAGAACTGCTCCAAAAAAAATCGGTGGTTTTTTTTTCACTCCTTTCTCCCCTTTAAACAGGAAACGAGGGCATGTTTTAAATAAGCATCTGCTATGCTCCTACTTTTGAGGTTGAGCTTGTGTGTTTGTGTGTGTGTGTGCGCGCGCAGGCAAGTTGAGGTTGTGCAGGCAAATTGAGAGGAGATGCCTACCCCGGGAAACCAGAATATCTTATCTGGTTGATGGAGCTGCTCCCCAGGAATGAGGGACGGAAACCGCCAGGGTTCAGCATAAAGGGACGCAGGTCAACCATGCTGTGGAAAGAGAGAGAGAGAATGAGACAACATGGTTTGACTCAGAAATTCAACCGGTGAGCAAACATGTTGATGTCATCAGTGGGTCTCAAACTGGGGTCCCCAGATGTTCT